CCTCCTAATAGTGCCACTCCTTATGAGCTTATGGGTACCAATTACATTCAAACTACAACAATTGTTTTCTATGAGTAAGTGGTTTTTAAACTTCTCTATAAGCATAACTGTCATCAAGTAGTCTTATTTTGTAATGCACATTGGTTGCATGACATAAAGTTACTTTTTTCGTGAATAATAATTGTTTGAGCATTTCTAGTGCAGAGTGAGAAGTGACTGTACAGACATTAATGAGAATATTTTAAATTGCTCCTAGTTTAGGAAGGATTCACACCATTGCTCCCCAGAAGGCTCTATATCTGTGTCTACCAATATAATTGATGGAATATTTGAAAGTAAGTTGCTATTGAAGAATTATTGGACTGATTATGATTTTAGATAACATTTGAATAAAAATCTGTTTGTAATCAATTAACAATTAGAGTTTATAAATGGCTAGAGATCAACCAAGTGCCGCCTAAGATCCCCAGCCATGAATTCTCAACTGTTTTCTAAAGGGTTAAAACAAAGGAATTTGGAAGTTTCAAGGTAAAATGAAAGTTTACATTAATGCATGCATTTTAAATGGAAAATCTAAGCCAAGGGTGTTTCCAGATACAGACACATGGTCATGCATACAGCTGTGAATTATGTGTATTAGTCTATGCACATAACCTAATCTCTCTCCCTGTCTTCCCTCTCCAACACTCCCTTCCTCCCTCCCCTCATCTTTCTACATAGACAGACAGAATACACACACTCCTAGAATTAAACTCTCTCTTTACACACACACACACACACACACACACACACACACACACACACACACACACACACACACACTCTCCTAGAATTAAAACCATTCATTTGGGCACATATACAGGCAAGCACACACACAAACACTATATTCTCACTTAGCAGCAACAATATAGTTTAAAATTAAGACTAGCATGGCCCAGATGTCCTGTCATTTTGTCATTTGCACTGTGGAATGGCATCCTGTCTTCCCGAGGGTGCTCTGTACTGTGGAGTAGACACTCATCAGGGCCCTGTCTTCTCAGAGGAAATTCCAGCCTTGCTACCTTTTGTGTCCCGCTTGGAGGAAAATCATATATATCCTCTTTTCTCTCTTTTCTCCTTATCTTGTTCAGCATTTCACATTAAAGAATCCAGCCTAATGGCTGTCCGTGGGAAGTATCCCGGATTTATGCATTTACTGATGGAGTGGGTCAAATGGAAATTTAATCTAATACACACTTAAGTAGAAAGAATAAAAACAGGCACATTCATTATTCCTATACATCTCCCAACCAGACAAGCTGATGTTATTTTGAGATCCCAGTAACTGAATTCTTTTTCTGTTCAAATGAGTATTAAGTAAAATGGAGCCTGCATCATAATTTAATGTTTCAGCTAATGTAATTCTTGATTCTAATCTGCTATAAATTCATTGCAATTATTTGGTAGAATTATGTAATGTGATTTTGCCTGCCTGGATGTATTATCATTTGTCCCCAAGAAAATCTGTCTAGCAAATGCCAAGAATGTATATCACTGACAACCAAGTAGATTTCCTTTCTCAGCATGGTATAATACATATTTTAAATCCATTTTCTGAGACTGTGAGGCCACATTAAATATACAGAAAACAATCTTCCTGGTCATTTGAATTTCCTCTATGTATCACACTTTTACATATCTCCAATTTCATTAATTTGAGAGAAGGAAGGGTGTCTGCTTTAATAACTTGTGTTCCCATGTTTTTATTTGATTCTCATATTTCCCAATGCTCGTATGCCCCACAGCATTAAAATCAGTAGAGTTGAGAGCATGACTGTCCCTATATGGTGAGTGCACCGTGAACTATGCTGTTAGTTGGTAAAGGCAGATACTTGGGTTGCAAAAATGTTTCCTCACAATTGAATTATTGGGATTGAATAAATACTCAGAATTGAGGTGAAGAGACAAATACCAAACATTACATTGTGAAGACCTTTCTGCATCGATCCTAGGGCTCTTGAATAATGAATTGACACACTTGCCCCTTACATTTTCCCCACATCACTATGGATATTTCTTTCTACAGAAGCCTATTAGTTTGGTTGTAGTTTCAGAGAGGACCACAGCTGCTTCTGAGTCTCATGCTGTACATTAATAGCCTATGGTGCTTCATCACTCTCCTCAATGTAGATACTGAGCAATGACATGTGAGAGCTTTGAGAGAAGGAAGCAGTAGTTGTAGACAGTAGAGACGTCTTGAGGATCACTACCAAGGGCACCAGGATGATTCTAAGATGTATTGAAATGCTTTGGCTGGATCACATGGCAAAAGTTACCATGGCCGAAGTGGCAGCTGCCTTGGGCTTTGAGCCACTGAAGAGGCAAGTGCACAGACTGAAGATGGAGTCTGCCAGGCTATGCACAGCTGAGCTGTTAAGGCAGAGAGTTCAACAGGCTCCATATGGTGGAGCAGACAGCAAAACAAGCTACAGATTTTAGAGTCTGAGAAAAGTCAAGTTGTGGGGAATAGACACAGTCGCTGATATTATACAAGACTAGATGTAGTTATTATTCTGTTGCTATGATAAGCCACCATGGCCAAGACAATTTATAGAAGAAAGAGTTTATTGGGGGCTTACAGTTTCAGAGGCATAGAGTCCTTGACCAACATGGCAGGGAGAATGGCAACAGGCAGGCAGGCCTGTTGCTAAAGCAATAACCAAGAGCTCTCATCTAATCCACAAGCCAAAGGCAGAGAGAGCTAACTGGGAATGGAAGGCTTATGAAACACCAAAGGCCTCCCCCTACTGATAGGCAACTTCCAAAAAGACTACACCTTTATATCCTGCACAAACAGTTTCACCAGCTGGGGACCAAGGATTCAGATATACCAGCCTGTGGAGATCATTTTCATTCAAACCACCACATTATACTTAAGTAACATTTGGTAATGTTAAAGGAATGTGAAGATAATAACTAAACGTGGGCATGAAAAACAGGGATGAGACTGGTAAAACTGTGGGATGTGGCCTCGTTTAGAGATAGTCTTCCCAGAATTCAACTGAGATGAAGTCATGAAAATGGGTCCAAGTACAATATGAGTAACTTCTAAGAAGTGGAAATTGAGACCCAGATATATCAAAAAGATACAGGAGATGCTGCATTGCCATGTGGCCATCCCATCTCAAATGCAAGCTCAACAGGAAGCCTGGGAGAATTCTGCCCTCAGAGTCCTCGATAAGGTCAACCTGCCCACACTCTATATCAGACCTCCAAACTCCACAACTGAGCAACAACAAATGGAATTGTTTAAACCCACTAAACTGTAGTACATTGTTGTGACATTCTTGGAAACTTAACACTGCATGAAGAAGTTGGCTTTTTTTAAATGGGAGAATTATTTGAGGTTTTTATGTAGGCTATGATTTAAAAGGGTCTGTCAAATGCACTGAAGTTTTTCTTCTTAACCAAGTTCATAGGAAAGTCATGGAGCCCATGGAAATGATTCTTTGCAGATTTTGAGCAGATTAAGAGACTTACATATGGACTTGGATGTTAAAGTCCCTGAATTATATTGTGGGGATAGATAGATAGACAGATAGATAGATAGATAGATAGATAGATAGATACATACATACATAATATATACATAATACATACATACATACATACATACATACATACATAGATGGATGGTTAGACAGACAGATGGATGATAGGATAGAAAGATACAGATGATAGATTGATAATCTATAGATAGAAGCTTGTTAGCTAGCTAGCTAGTTAGCTAGATAAATAGGTGATAGATTGCTATAGATGATAGCTTGGCATATTGACGATAGATATCAGATGATAGATGACAGGTAGATGATAAATAAATAGATACCAGATAGGTGACAGATAAACAGATGGCAGATGATAAATGATAGGTAAATAATGTATAGCTAGATAGCAGACAGGTGATTGATAGTGATAAATAATTTATAGATAGATGATGGATATGAGCTAGTTGGCAAAATTTCATGTGTTAATTACATGGTTTATTTAAAATTGTATGCATAATAAGTATAGTATATTATACTACTTTGATAGTATACTATAGCATACTGCTTACCATAACCACATATACAGCACATGATGTCTGCATGCCTCTAGTTATATCTTATCACATATTTCATTATTATTATTATTAAGAAATTTTCTATTCATTTTACATACCGACTACAGATCCCCCTCTCCTTCTGCCCCCCAGCCTCCACCCCAACCCACCCTGTATTCCCACCTCCTCCAAGGCAAGGCCTTCCATGGGGAGTCAGCAGAGCCTGGTACATCCAAGCCTCTCCCCCTGCACCAAGGCTGCACAAGGTGTCCCATCATAGGCACTGGGCTCCAAAAAGCCTGCTCCTGCTCGAGGGACAGATCCTGATCCTACTGCCAAGGGGCCCCCTAAACAGTTCAAGCTAAACAACTGTCTGACCTATCCAGGGGGGGTAGTCCAGTCCCATGGGGGCTCCACAGCTATTGGTCCACAGTTCATGAGTTCCCACTAGTTTGGCTTGGCCATCTCTGTACATTTCCCTATCATGATCTTGATGTCCCTTGCTCATAGAATCCCTCTTTTCTGTCATCAATTGGAATCCTGGAGCTTAGTCTGGCACCTGGATGTGGATCTTTGCATCTGCTTCCACTAGTTACTGGATTAAGGCTCTATGATGACAGTTAGGGTATTCATCAATCTGATTACCAGAGTAGGTCAGTTCAGACACCTTCTCAACTATTGATGGTAGTCTAAGGTGGGGTCATACTTGTGGATTCCTGGGAACTTCCTTATCACCCTGTTTCTCCATATTCCCATGATGTCTCCATTTATTATGGTATCTCTTTCCTTGCTCTTCCACTCTGTCCCTGTTCCAGTTCGAACCTCCCATTTCCTTATGTTCTCATCCTCCATCCCTTACCCTCCACTGACCCCCCTCACTCCCAGTTTGCTCATGCAGATCTCATCTATTTCTTCCTCACAGGGCAATCTATAAGCAGTCTTGAACACATTGGCACAGGAGACCTCTTCCTAACTATAACACCAGTAGCACGGACACTGAGAGCAACAATTAATAAATGGAACTTCCTGAAACTGAGAAGCTTTTGTAGGGCAAAGGACACGGTCAATGAGACAAAACAACAGTCTACAGAATGGGAAAAGATCTTCACCAACCCCACATCTGACAGAGGACTGATATCCAGAATATGTAAAGAACTCAAGAAACTGACATCAAAATACCTAACAGTCCAATTAAAAAATGGGCTACAGAGCTAAACAGAGAATTCTCAACAGAAGACTCTCAAATGGCTGAAAGACATTTAAGGAATTTCTCAACATCCTTAGTCATCAGGGAAATGCAAATCAAAACGACTCTGAGATACCATCTTACACCTGTCAGAATGGCTATGATCAAAAATACTGATGACAGCTTATGTTGGAGAGGATACAGAGCAAGGGAAACACTCCTCCACTGTTGGTGGGAGTACAAACTTGTACAGCTACTTTGAAAATCAGTATGGCAGTTTCTCAGAAAATTGGGAATCAATCTACCTCAAGACCCAGCTATACCACTCTTGGGCATATACACAAGGAACGCTCAATCATATCACAAGGACACATGTTCAACAATGTTCATAGCAGCATTATTTGTAATAGCCAGAACCTGGAAACAACCTAGATGCCCCTCAACTGAAGAATAGATAAAGAAAATGTGGCACATATACACAATGGAGTACTACTCCAGACTGAAAAAACAATGTCATCATGAAATTTGCAGGCAAATGAATGGAACTGGAAAATATCATCCTGAGTGAGGCAACCCAGACTCAGAAGGACAAACATGGTATGTACTCACTCATAAGTGGATACTAGATATAAAGCAAAGAACAATCAGACTACAACCCACAGCTCCAGAGAAGCTAGCTAACAAGGAAGACCCTAAGGGGGACTCATCACATATTTCTATACAAAATGAAAAGAAATGCCCAAAACTTTCTCTTAAAACATTCTTCATTTTAAAGCTAGTGTTTTTTATGTCTGTATTATTAGTTCCAAACGTGATTTTGGGGAGGAGGACCAGATATACTGCCCCGAACAATCATTATGGTGCTTGCAATCTTCAGCAGGCTCTGTCCTATATTGCTCACCACTCATTTCATACAGTTAAATTGCTTTGTTCTACTGCCAGGTGAAATAAATTATATCTGAAGAGACTGTTCTTGCTCCTTGTGTGTGTGTTTTCTAAAAGAGCCACACTGAAATTTCTATCATTTAAGGCATAAAAAAAGCTTAGTGGCATTAGAAAAATTATCCCAAGCAGAGTTTTCAGTTCTTAACTAGATTTGAAAACACTGAATTTCATATTTTGTTTCATGAATTCATGACGCTATGGTGCACTCTGAGGCCAGCACTTCACAGTCTCGGTCATCAGACTGAACTTCTGTCTGAAGGTCTGGGTGTCACAACTGGAGTCCATTCCTTCCAGCTCCATAGTACTGTGTGATGGAAAGCCCTCACAGTGCTTTTATCTGCCATTATCTCGATGTCTGGCTTGCAAAATGCTCTGCACACTCTATGTTTATTTTGGTTTTTATGCTCCACTTTAATGTCCAGGGAAAGCAGTTAGATCTCCAAGGCACTATGTAAAACCCAAGCACGTCAGAACACTCCTGTGCCTTCTCTGGTGGTCAGTAGCGCTCCCAGTCTGAGGTGCTGCCCAGGACTCAAGCTGTGATCTCATCACTCACTTTAATTAACCAAGACAGAGTGCTTACAGCAAAGGCCCAGTGCCTGACCGGGAGATTTTCATTTTGTGTGACTGTTCTTCCTTATGTGCGTTTCAAAAGATATCATGAATCAGTTTCATCTTATTAAATTCCTCTGCAAATCAATGTGGGATCATGGATGCTGAAGACATTTGGGGGGTGGTGATCATTTTAAAAGCCAACTTAGAATTCTACCAGCAACACATACGCAGCGGGGTTGGTAATATTTTTAAGTAAACAAATGTGCTGATATCTGTAACTAATATCATGCAGGACCTTGGTAAGTGGGTGGAAATACAGTTAATATCACTTTTCCTCCAAGGGTCTGGCCAGCTGTGACAGGTCTCTCTGCTACCACTGCTGTTCCATACCAGCAACACGAAAGTAGTCTGTGTGCAGGCAGTAGGTGCAGCCTATGATAGGGAGGCACAGACACCTCCTGTCTTTGTTCCTCTGCTCTGGAAGATTCTCTAGGATAGATCAGTGCCTGGTTCCTCTTTTGTGTGTAGGTGTTGTGAATCGAACATAATTTGAGCATGAGTCATTGTTCTATCCACCCAGGATCTATAACTGGGTACCCTGGTTTATGTGCCAGTCACTGGTGGTTCCCAGGTAGACTATCACAGGAGGCTTAGCACCAGCCAGTCCTAAAATACCACCCCAGGGTAGGACTGAGCTATACCCTGGAGTCTTGCAGGGCATTCAGACTGCACAGGGTTTCAGAATTTTGACCTTTAGCTTTCTTAAAGCAGCTCTCTTATAGTGTATGGCATGTGACTAGGAATCATTTGTAGACGTAAAAGGTATTCAAGTGAATTTTAGTCCAACTTCAGACAATTGACTGCAGCTAGTTGTAATCAAATGAAACCAAGTTGAAAGTAGATCAGCATTTAGGGGTGAGAAAAAATCTGTCCCCAGGGGTGTACGGAGCTGAACTTACTTGCCTACTGTTACCTGGAAATGCTTTGCAACGTCATTCCCTCTCCTAGCTTAGAGAAGATCTGCACATAGATCTTCAGCTTTGGTTTTCTGTCCACGTGTGTTATACATACATCATGTCTCACTCAGCACTGAACTGCTCCTGCTGACTGACTCATCTCACAGACAGATGGCTCATTGGCTCAGGGCTCCAGCTTAGCAGAGCAAGCTCTGTTATTGACCCCATTTAATATGACACACTAGGTGTGAGGGATAAGCCTTGTCTATAGGTAGAAATGGACCCTGGTAAGTTCCTTCTTGTGCCAAGACTTACTGCAAATATTTTAAATCCTCTGAGCCCAAGTTCCTACATGTGAAAACATAGTGCAACTATTTGAAGATAGTACAACTATGTGCTAAAGTAAAACCATAGCCAGTGTCTGTTGCAGTTCTGACTTCCTAGAAGAGGTATCTGATGTCCCTAGCTAGAAAACCATTTCTCTAAGCTCCCAGAGAAGAGCTGGGATTAATCCAGGTCCCCTTCCCTCTCAGCCACAAGTTTCATATGGGACTGTCTGAGTCCTCCTCATAATCTGTGGAATTGAGACTAAGCATGAAATGTCTTATGAGAAATATTTGTAAACAGTGTAATGGATTGTACCTTTGGTTTTATTGACAGGTGATAACAGATATTGATGCCCCTGAAGAGATCTGCTAAGGCCTCCCGGAAAAAAGAATCTACACAGATTAAGGTAATTTTTGTGCTTCAAGAAAACTTTAACAACTTGGAACATAAGACCTGGTAGCTGTGGCTTTCCTAGAAGATGAATTAATAAAGGGCCATGCTTTAGCTCAATCAAAGCAATGTCAGCTGTCTATGCATTTGAAATGCATTTATGAATCTTTCAGATTATTTATATATAGCATATTCATGGCACTACCTTATCTATGCGACGTTGCAAACTTTTCACACATGTAGGCTCTTCCCTTTTTTATGTCCCTCAGTTTTTATTGCCACTTACCAAGTTAAGCAGTAGGTGTCCTGTATTTTATAATTGCTCTGCATGGCTGTGCCATTGATATCTGCCCAGATATTTTCACCAAGGCAACATTGGAAACCTTTCTAGAAGCTTAAAGAAAGTGAAGGAAAATAGATATACTCAATGGGGAAAAGCTTAGAAGTGACCAGTACTGATTTTGCTATCATATGGCTTTGGCCTCTTTAGGGAGCAGATGAGGAGGAGGAGGCTAAAACAGGACCAATGCTAGACACCTGGCTTATTCTTAGTCTTGCCTGGGTAAGTCTTGGATTGATGGTGATAGGAGATATGGATGATAGATAGATGCATGCATTCATGAATATATATATATGTGTGTGTGTGTGTGTGTGTCTGCATAATAGAATGAATATATTCCATATGAACGCATTTCTGCACGTACATCAATGTATCTCCTCTTTGTCATTATGTATTGGACATGCCACTCTCTGTTCTGAGGGAAAAAGACCAACGGAAGTCTTCTTCCAATTAGAGCGATCACTCGGTGTAGAAAGGGAAATCCCTAGCACCGTAGAGAGCTAGGATGCACCACTGAGGATGAAGACAGCCTTCAAATCTCTCCACTCCCTGCACCAGCCTTTAGGGAGCTTTGTCCCCTCCCTGGGCTCCTGATTTACATTTCCTTAGAGCGTGTGCTTTAAAATCAAATTATAAATTATTTCTATACCACTTTGAAATGTAATTTGATAAAATGGATCTCATCAGTTCTACAGCTGAAGAATGTCTCTCTCGAACTTGGGATTCACCTTCTGGAATATAATGAAAAGATGAAAGCAGGGTCTTGTCTTCCAGTGTCTTCAAAGAGTGGGAACCAAAGTTCAGCCAAGCACCTTGCTTCCGGTGGAGCTACCTTTGCACAGGAAGGTCAGAGAAAGCTGACTTTTCTTTTGAAGATACCCAATTAGAAAACACAGATGGCTCACGTTCTGCTTGACTGCAGCTACTAAAGTTTCTGCTGGCTTTTCTTCCAGCAGAGTTAAATTCAAACTACACTCTGGTTGTTACTACAGTGGACATGGATAAAGTCTTCCGTGGCTGTTTAACTTTTCCAGTGTAATCTTTGCTTTGACTGCCTATTAATATTGTTAAAAGTGCTTACTTCTAAACACAGGCAAAATACAGTCGGAGAATAACATAAGTAACACAGTGAATCTACCACAGTCACTCAATAAATGCTGACACTTTGCTGAAGATCCTCGGTGTTCCTCTCCAGTTTCCTTTCCAGGGGTCATGGCCATAATGGACCCGGGGAGCAGCTGCTGGTCACTAGGAAAAGGAAGAGAAAGATGCAGACACAAACTCCATGGTGCTGGTTAAAGAGCCAGAGCAATGTTTATTTTCCACATGTCCGATATCAGGGCTTACTTTCCTTGGGAGAGATACCATGACAGGCTTCCCACTGGAGCAGTTCCTCTTAGCAACTTGCCTCTTGGGTTTGGAGCCTCAGGATCACCCTGGGGTGAAAACAGCCCCATCCCTTTTCTGTCTGAGTACAGCTCAGTGCAGATTCTGGGTTGTCCATTGAATGGAATTTTCCTATTTCCTAATTAATGAGAGACAGAAGTAAAAAACATTGTTCCTAGATTGAAGTCAACATGTTTTTCATTTTAAAAATAGTCCCAAACATAAACATATCCACTAAGTTTTGATCAGATACTGTGTGCTCTGCCTAGAGGCAATGTTTACCACAGAGCTTGTTGTTTACCAGAAGTAGAATCCATGGGTTGGGAATGTGTGAATCTATATTTGAGAGACAAAGCTTGGGACCCGAGAGACCCAGGCAGATCTCTAAGTTGGTCATCAATGAATACCAGGTTTAGTTGATGATGAGAACTTTGACCTTTCTGAAATTGAATACTGTGGTCTTGGTGAAATCTTTGAAACTTTCTGTGGAGAATGGCTCATCTCTAAGAAAGTCTACATTCTTATTCTTTACTGATACATTATGCTTATCATTTGTTCCCATCAAGTCCTCTCAAGTTTAGCTGCATGGAGACTTACTGGGAGTCCCTGTACATACAGAAAACCCCCTAACACAATGGCCATATCAATATCAGCACCTTTTATTCCACTTTTTTCATATAGTTTTCTAGATTCTACTGACTGGAATATTTGGAGGGGGAAGTGTGAGGAAATGGGGTGTCCAGCCTGTAGTGCTGTGGAATGTCATTCTGTGTGCTGTGAATATGTGATGCTCTGATTGGTTGATAAATAAAATGCTGATTGGCCAGTAGCCAGGCAGGAAGTATGGGCAGGGTAAGCAGACAAGGGGAATTCTGGGAAGAGGAAGAGCTGAGTCAGGAGTCACTAGCCAGACACAGAGGAAGCAAGATGTGAAGGCAGAATTGAGAAAAGGTACCAAGCCACGTGGCTAAACATAGATAAGAATTATGGATTAATTTTAAGTGTAAGAGCTAGTCAGTAACAAGTCCTAGCTAATGGCTGAGCAGTTATAAATAATATTAAGCCTCTGTATGTTTACTTGGGGGACACAAGTGGGAGAGATTTGTCTGGACCATGCGGGCTGGGAAGGACACTGGAAACCTTCCAACTACACTGTAGTCTTTGTTTTCCATCTTTGTTCAGGGGCTCTGGGCTTCTCTTAAGAGAAGGGGATTACTTAATTACCCAGGAGCATTATCAATGTTTAATGATCTCTTTTGTTGGTCTTTCCTTATACCCCACCCTGCATTTCTAAGCCAGTTTCCATTAAAAAAAATCATGTATTTTGGGAACAGTATGCATATATCCCACATTTATTTGCAACATAGTGTCATAAATTTAGGCTTTACAAAGTCTAGTTGTGTCTTTGTGTTAATCAGATTTTCTTCACTCTAACCAAACTCCTGTCAGAAAGAACTTCAGGGAGGAAATGTTTCAGAGGCTTTGGCTCATCGTGGTAAGGAGGACATAGTGGACAGAGCAGCTCATGTCATGGCAGCCAGGAAGCAGAGTGGAGCAATAACAGGAAGCAGAGTGGAGCAATAACAGGAAACAGAGTGGAGCAATAACAGGAAGCAGAGTGGAGCAATAACAGGAAGCAGAGTGGAGCACTAACAGGAAGTAGGGTGGAGTAGTAACAGGAAGCAGGGTAGAGCAGTAACAGGAAGCAGGGTGGAGCAGTAACAGGAAGCAGGGTAGAGCAGTAACAGGAAGCAGAATGGAGCAGTAACAGGAAGCAGGGTGGAGCAGTAACAGGAAGCAGGGTAGAGCAGTAACAGGAAGCAGAATGGAGCAGTAACAGGAAGCAGGGTGGAGCAGTAACAGGAAGCAGGGTGGAACAGTAACAGGAAGGTACCAGGGGAAAATATGTCCCCAAAGATACGTAAACAGTGATCTAATTCCTGTATGCACATGTGAACATATCCACAAACATACATACATGGAATGCAAACCTATATCCACATGTACCCAGACACACACACACACACACACACACACACACACACACGTACACATGCCCCCCAAACAAAACCAAAACCAAACTCAGTGAACAAACAGTACTGCTTGACCCAGAGCCCTGGTCGTGTGTCTCTGGGAGACATCCCATAGACACATGCACAGCAGTGGCTTATCATCTCTGCGCCTCTTAATGCAATCAGGGAGGCAGTCGAGATGAACCATCACAACGTCACTCACCAAGAGCTGGAGACATGAAAGACCCCAGCCTATGAACCCTTGAGGGGCTGGCAACTACTGGCCCAGATCGTCAGCTCAGTTGCCTTTGGAAGCAGAAGTTCCGGAAAATTCATGTTTATAGTCACCTGAAAACCACATTCTACAGCATCTCCAGGATCCAAAGGAAGGAGATTCTGTGAAAATGTGAGAATTATCTGTCACCCCTGAGACTTTCATAGACTGTTTCTCATCCTCTTGGTCATCAGTAATCTTCAAGTGTGGTGCCCAGAATTAGTAAGTAACTAATGCTTAAAGGCCTACTAATCTTATCTTTAAGCAATCCTATCTTAATTCTTATTTCATTAGAAAACTTGCATTTAAATGTGTACAGCCAACATAGTCATGGCAGGACACTTAAAATCCAAGAATTGCCATAGACAAGCCTAATTATATCTAGTAATTGCTAGATGTTATTTTAATTAAACTATTTTCCTATATAAACACCAACTTTTTTTTTTTTTAGCTCTTCTTTTTAGGGCTATAAGACCTTACTCATTTTAATTTCATGTTTTGGTTTTTGATTATTAGCCTAGTCCTCGTGTTTCTTGATTGTCACAGAATTGAACTCATATTTCCTAGCAGTTCCCCAATTCCTTAATTCTAAAGTATGATACATTCTGAACTTTAGACAGTGTTGTAATTTATATTATGCTTTCATCAACTGTGTTAATAATAAGGTGAATCATACATTCCAAAACCCACCATCTGAAGTACATCCCACGAACAGTCTCTTGCAGTGGAGATGACAAAAAGTTGTTGTGTGGTTATAGACTTTCTTTGAGGGAATCTGGTAAGATTGTACCCATCACTTCAAGAAATGGAGGCCATGGCTCTAGAGACTTTCCTCTGCTCGGACACCATGCCTGTTAGATTTTGTCACATTGACACAAAGTAGAATCATCACAAAGTGGAAGAGAGAAACTCAACTGAGGTATTGTCTCCATGAGATTGACCTGGGTACATCACTTGGGTATTTTCTTGATTGATAATTGATGTGGGAAACCCCAGCCATGATGGATGGTGCCACCCCTGGGCAGGTGGTCCTGGGTTGTGTAAGAAAGCAGGCTGAGCAAGCCATGGGAAGCAAGCTAATAAGCAGCACTCTCCACTGTTCCTGCTTCAGTTCCCAGCTCTGTGTTTCTGCTTTAACTTCCATCCTGGTCAGTTCTTGTCACCTTGACCCTAGATAGAGTTATCTGGGAAAAGGAACCTCAAATGAGAGAACGCCTCCATCAGCATGACCATTCAACAAGGGGCCATTTTCCTGACTCACAATTGGTGTGGGATGGACCAGTTCACTATGTTTCGGCCAACTCTGAGTAGGCAGACCTGGGTGGTATCTGAGAGCAAACTGAACAGGTTTGTGAGGACCCAGAGGTGATCCTGGAAGAAGAACACTTAGCACCATGTCCCTGAAATGCCTTTTGCCAAGATAAGGAGGTAAGGAGCAAGGTGTTAGGATGGGGTCTTCCGACAAGGCCTGCATTGCTAATGGAGTCTAACCTAAAGACTCTCGCTCTGTGTAGTACTTAGGTGCAATACAGGGGCCTTTGGAGAGGACAGTACTCCTTAGCCAGCCGGCCACCCCTGGACCTCAGAAGCATCGTGGAGGTAAGTGGTGGAAGGGAGAGAAGAGAGCGGAGAGAGATGGGAGAGGGAAGAGTAGAGGAAGAGGGGGAGACTCTGCCTACAGTTTCCTAGTAAGGTACCACGGGGCGGGGCGGGGGGTCAGACCCACACAGCTTTCTAGGGGAGAGACACTGCCTGTCTAGTCAGTCTGTGATGGGCCGTTTGGTCTTGTGTTAAGTTTGTTAGTTCCTCACATTATGGTGCACACATTGCTTCCTGTGCTTTATTCCGTCTCTCAGCAACCTGCTCTGCCGCCCTAGTGCAACTGGGGTGTGGGTGATAGGAGCTGGAATGTGGGCAACGCAGACTACGCTCCCCTTGCATTTCAGTTATCAAAGATTCATACCTTTAAATAATTTATAGATCTGGCATGAGCCATCATTTACTGTGTATAGTAGGTGCTGAACACATTCTTAAATGCAAAGGGACTTATAAAAATAATGATACAGAGTGCCTTGTATTTCAGGTTGAATTGTATTCACCAAAAAGAGATGTTGAAAAATCAAACCCCAGTACCACTAAATGTCACTTTGTTTTGAAATAGCCTTTGAAAACGCATTTAAGTTTCAGTGAGGTCATTAGAGAGGGCCTGAAGCTGATGTAAGTAAGTATCCTTATAAGAGGAGAAACATTACTGCACACAAACACACATCACACAAACACACACACACTATACACACCCCCATACCCACACACTCTCTCTCCCCCTCTCTCTTACACACACACACACACACACACACACACACACACACCATAAACCTCCACCTCTCTCCCTCTCTCTCTCTCACACTCACACACACACAAACACACACACACACACACACACACACACACACACACACACACACACACGCAAACACACACACACACACACACACACACACACACACAGACTGAGATAAAGAGAGCATGTGTGAGGATAACTGGAGAGTGAAGTTGCCAGCTGGCGAGTACCAAGACTGACAGCAACCCTGCAATGGGAGAAAGGAAGCAAGAAAGGATTCTCCCTACAGGTTTCTGAGGAACGTGAGCCTGCTGATACCTTGACTTTGGACTTGAAGCCTCCAGACTAAGGCAATAATCTCTTGCTGTCTTAGGTGCTCAGTTTGAGGCACTCTGTTAGGATAGATGCAGGAAAAGTGCAGCTTTTTCCTGGGACACCAAGGTTTACTGAGCACCATGGTGCTCCCTGCTGGACATTGAGTTATTTCTAGGGATGCATTGCAAATGCAGTGTGACTCCTTCCCTGGGGATCAGCGACACTGTGAGGTGTGGATGATTTGGCAGAGCTGGCCTTGGTAGGAGGAGTGCGGAAGAGACAGCCTGGTTCCCTGGAGTTTTGTAGCGTACTCTAAAATAACGTTTGAATTATATGTTTCTTCCCAGGGATGCAGGGTGTTTAAAAAGAGGTAGAGTTAGAACCCAAAAACCTGACAAGAGGCAGTTATGCAAACTGCAGTTTTCAGCTTCTGTGCTTATGAATGCAGCATTTTTACAGGCAGGAGAGGCTGAGAGCCATAAACCAGTTTCGTTTGTGGTACTTTGCAATCTCTTGTAGCTTCCGCGTTCTCCAGTTGCTGTGTAGTTTGAAATCTGTGTACTTTGTTGATAATCACTCTTGAGTTTTGCATAATGGCTTTGTGATATAGGTTGTGCATTTCAAATATGTGGTGTGTTTGATCTCAGGAGCGCATTAGCAGTACCCAGCAAATCTGGAGTGTCTGTATTAAAAGTTAAGCTAAAGGCAAGAGTACCTCCCCCCAATAAAGGCCTTTGTTTCTTTCTACCTCTTATCATGTGTAACTAGAAAGAGTTTTAAAAGTAGCTGAACTGAGTGAGGTGGGAGAGATTCATTTTTTAACCTCCCGGTGAGCTGTGACAGGAAGGTCACAATGAGTAAGTCTTCCTGTCATGTGTTCCCCATATCTAATCCTAATACCTGCCATAGGGGCCTATAAACCAATCACCGTTTCCCTGGTGGGTCGTATCAGTTAAGCCAAAGCTTGTCAGCATTTCTTTCCTAATTTTAAGCAAATGTATTAAATTATGAGTCCTGAAAAATTAGGAGCGACGTGAACTCATTTCCTGTCTCTTTCACTGAGTAAATTAAAATTTACTAGAGATAAAACTAACAGCAGGCCAAAAGGTCCTCTTCCCTTTGGAACTGTGATGACTTCAGTAGAAGGCTTTCACTCAAAACAATGACAAAAAGCTGGTTTTTGCCAACGAGGCACTGATTTGTCTCCTTTCTAGCATAACAAAAGAAATGAAGTCGATTTATGAGGCTCTTCCGCAGGACACAGGTTTGATTCTCACCCCTCCAGAGCATGGCCTACCGAGCACCCACCTGAAGGAGATCCTGGCCTGCTCATCTCTCCCTTTTGTGTGGATAAATCTGGATGACCCCAAGGACTGTGCTGTTTGCTGATGCAGTCTGCCTCTCTTTGGAGTTATGGGGCCAGAGACTCACACAGCCAGCTAAGCAGGACCCTGACTGAGTGAGGTGTCTGTCTTTCCTTCTCAAGAGTTCTTTCCATTCCATTCTGAGCTTCACGGTCATCTTTCATAAACACCAGCAGTCTTCCTGTGTGTACACCAATCCTCTGGCTTTCCTCTGGAGAGGTTAATTTCTGCTTTTCCAAAGAATGCAAAGCAACATGTGTACAGTGGATAGCCTCTTTAACTATTCTAGTTCCTTTCTTAGCTCTGTGTCTGTCTTCCAGACCTGTGCACAGGGATGACCTTTATCTTAGCATACATAGCCTTTTCTTATTGAAAAAGTGTGTCACCACAGTGGGGACCTGGTCATGGTGGGCACATGTCAGATCAAAAAGGGTATGGCTAGTCACTAAGACACAGCAGATGGGCAGCAGGGTAGACATCCAGGAGAAGGCAGTGGGTGGAGACTCCTCGCAGAGAGGAGCCTGCTGCTGGGATTAACTTCATTCTGCCGACAGGAAAGGGTTCCATGCTGACAGGATGGCACAGGAAGAAAGCAGGTAGTTCTTTAATTTAGGCACAGGCTTGTGTGTGATACTGAGTATGGTTTTCTTTCCGTTAGACTGTCACCTGGGTGTCCTTATTGGATCTTGCCAGCTCCCACTCTCACAACGTAAGCCATCCTTCTGCAGCTCCCCCCTACCCTACCACCTACTCACCTTTAGGAGATTTATTACCGCAGTCAAAGAAAGCGCGGGGTGATCATCACTTATCAATCAGAGGGACTGTGGCTGCAAGCTAAGTAGCCCGACAAAGACAACACAGCTCTGCGCGGATTAATGTCTGCTGCAGTGGAAATAACAAAGACACCAACTGTCATTGTATCACTCATTAAGTATCAGCACGTGACAGGGCTCGAGGCATTGTATGTGACAGGCAGTGTGACAAACAACGATTAAGGTATGACTTGGCAAGTTTCAGCAGGAGATGCTATTGCATTACCGTCTGCTGGAAAACGTGCCCAGCCTCCTGCCTGCCAACAAGAAAATGCATGGCATTACGAGAAGGTGACCTCCTCCATCTCTACCTCTGCTTGTGTCTGCACCGCCGCTTCGGAGACGGAGTGGCTTGGTGGTGAACAATGTGGAGGGCCCTTACACAAACGCATGAATGAAGACTGGGAAAAAGTAGGAAATGGAACCTGAGTGGGGCGTGTCTGGCTGCTCAGCCGGCAGACACTCATGAGAGTGAGAGTCACTGTCAGAAACTTTATCACCACGGCCAAGGACCCTCCTCTCTCACCTGCCTGTTCGCTCTCACTCAGCCCTCTCTTCCCCACCAATCCTCTCAGAAGAAGCTGAGTCCAGTTGAAGGGTCCAGGAATATAGAAATATAAAGTTATAAGCTTAAGAGATACAAACTGACAGTCATCAGCTCTAAAGGTTAGCTGCTAACGATGGCTGTCTGCTTACAGCCAGCTCCTCTGTCAACAGCCAGGGGTTAACTTTTAACCCCCTTGCTCCTTATAGCCAACAACTGCCTGGACCAAAGTTAACTTTTAATAGTTGTTTCTACATGACTTCTAGCATGCATCCTGTGCCTGATACTACAAAAGGGGGCCAGTACCCCCTCCATTGCCACAGCCTCAGAATTACAACAGGGGCTGTGGTCTCAGCTAGCTGATAAGCTTTTGTGCTCCACGGTGGTTTTTTTTTTTTTTTAATTTTTCTGGAATAAAGTTTGCTTCTGGTTTAATAGACTTTGGTGGTCTGTCCCCCATTATTTCGAGACCCCAGATCCAACACAGTAAACAACCTAATAAAGCAATAAATACTCGGATTTCCACGCCCCGTGTTTCTTCACAACTGGCTCTTGTCCATCAGTGGGAAGATGTCTTCTCCAGGCCTCAGATCTGGCTTCTCAGGCTGGTCCTGCCCCTGAGAAACTCACATATGAGAAGAGTGCAGGACCAGTGAATTCCAAGGCATCCACATTTTCATGTCGCGGTGATAAGGGGACAAGGGACTGGCACCCCTACAAACACAGGTGGTCAGGGAAGCTGCCCTCATAGACAAGGTGAGTGTTGTGTCTTCACACTGTGTGTGTCACCTGGTGCATCTGCTGTGGGCTAGAGAGCCAGAGGAAATACTGTACCAAAATAACTAAATCATTCCACTCAGGAGTAATAGTTCACATCTAGTGTAAAAATGAAGGAATGTAAACATGGTAAGTCTTTAGAAATGTTAGAAATAGCATGGTAAGATATTACACCTTTTGTTTGAGTCTGTAGGTCCCATAATTACAAACATTCCTGAGCAACTCAGTACATAATTTTCTACCAAATACAATGAAATTCTTGTTGGCATTTCAAAGGATAAGTGTTGTTGTGGAATATTATTTTAACTAGGCAAAGGTGTGTCATATTTGTTTATGCTGCATTTGTTGAACTATGTAAGGATGTGTGTTAAATATATGAAGTTGTGCTGCATCTGTTTTACCTTACCTGCCTAAGACACCTGATTGGTCTAAGAAAGAGCTGAATGGCCAATAGCTAGGCAGGAGAGAGATAGGTGGGACTGATAGGCAGAGAGAATAAATAGCAGGATATGGTGATATTTTATTTGTGCTGAAATGTGATTTTATTTGTATGTTAATAAAGAAAAGTGCCTGGGGGTCAGAGCTAAAAGCAAGCCATAGCAGAAGTCTGGCAGTGATAGCACATGCCCTTAATCCTGATCACATGACAGGCAGATCTCTGTGTGTTCAAGGACACCACCAGCATGGAGACACATGCCTTTAATCTCAATACCAACCATAAAAGACCTGGAGGTCTGTATAGACAGGCAGTGATTAGGAGGTCATGTGGTTGGGTTCACAACCAATGAGAAGGCAGAACAGAAGGTCAATAAAAAGACAGACACACAGGAAGTAGGTCTCTTTCTGAGGGGAAGGACGGCAGCCACAGCAGGTGATAAGAAGGCGGTTTTAGTAGCTCTTAGCTACTGCTCTGACCTCTGGGGCTTTTAACTCTACATTTGGCTCTGTGTTTCTTATTTAATAAGACTGTTACATCACAGGAGGAGAAATCTGTGCTAAAGTAGGAGAGAAGGGAGAAGGAGAGGAGAGAAAGAGAGGAGAGGAGAGAAAGAGAGGAGAGGAGAGAAAGAGAGGAGAGGAGAGAAGGGAGAAGGAGAGGAGAGAAGAGAGGAGAGGCCCGAGGCCAGAAGCCAGGCGGCTGCCAACTGACCAGACGTAAAGAGAGCAAGAAAGAAAAGGTAAAAAGCCCCTGAGCCAAGAAGCAGATAAAGAGAAATGGGTTAATTTCTTAATTTAAGTTAACAGAGTTACGTGCCTACTATAGGCTGAGCATTCAAAACTAATAATAAGTCTCTGTGTCATGATTGGGGAGCTGGCTGGTGGCCCCAAAGAAAAAGTCTGGTACGTTTTTAAACACACTGTAACCTGTTTAGAGGGTTTTTTTTTTTTTTACCCATCTGAACCTACTTTATTGCCTATCACTAGCCTTTTTTTTTTTTTTTTGTCTGCATGAGCCAAAAACTGCTAAGCTACAGCTGGTTCCTCTGCTTTGGAGGAGCGGCTTTGGAGGCTGGCTCCACTCCCTCCTCAGTCATGGAAGCCAAGCCTAAGGGCTGGGTTCAGAGGTTCCTTTGACCGGAACTACTTTCAACTTCCCAGCTCTAGGAAAGGGGTGTCCCACACTATGGCAAGCGTTCTTATTTTTGTTTCTCTTTAACATACCAGCTTCTCAAGGGCTTGCTGTTTGGCAGAGACTCTTAAAGGAGCTGTGCCCGTTTTTGTTTTGTTTTTTAAGCTTTTTCAGGTTCTATGTGGAAATACCAGCCCCATGTTGGTGCCATTCAGCTCTTTACTAGACCAATCAGGGGCCATTGGTATGTAAGGTGAAACAGATTCAACACATCTTTACATAATTAAACACACATCCTTACATAGTTAATGCAGCAGAAACAAAAACAGCACACCTTTTCACAGTTAAAGTAGGATTCTGCAGCATAAACAAATGTGACACATCTTTGGCTAGTGAAAATAATATCTCACAACAAAATGCACTCAATGAGGAAAATTTAAAAATGAGTTATTGTGTTTAAATTTTGAGATGAAGGAGCCATGAATTGAAACATGAAATTTCTGCTTAAAGATCAAAATACTGAAAAATAAAATTCTTGAAATGGAGGTTGCCTATTTAAAATTTTAGCCCTATTGAATATTTAAATTGGGAAGGGCAAATATCGTAACATTGGAAATAATTTACATTAATATGGTCTCTTATGATATCTGAATGTAATTTGGTACAAATATGCTTAGAATGTGAATATCAACGCATTTGATTGTGTTTGGCATACTGAGAATTTGTACACTCGGGTGACAGAGCAAGACACTTGACATCTCCCTCTCTGCTCTAAAGTATGCACCCAGTACACTCATCTGCACACACATGGGCTTATATACTGCACACTTATGCCACACATATATACCACATATACATATGGAATTTTTTTAAAAAATAAGTGAAAGAAATGTGTCACAAAATACCCCGAATTATGTTTCTATTTGTATGAAATGTCTAGAACAGTGAAATCTGTAGGTACTGAATGCAAATTAGTTTTTCTTTGATGGGGAGGGCTTAAGAGTGGTTTTCAGAGGGGCTATAACTTTCTAATTTTGACTGGAGTGGCGAGAGCATGATTGAGAACATACTAAAACCATTGCCCTGCATGTTTCACTCTGCTGGATACTGAACACAAGACCTGTGCGTTCAAGGCAAGCACTTCACTACTGATATACACCCTCAACACAAACCATGTATTTTAAATGAATGAATTTTGTGGCTTTTAGTTATATTTTAATAAAAATAGAAATAAAAGACTAAAACTATAAAAAAATGCTCTCTATGACCTAGAAGTTACTTTTCTTAAATAAGCTTAGCTGACCTTACTGAGAATTAAAAATATTCAGGTGTGTTTATGGGTTCAGGGCTGACCACTCTGCCAGATCCAGCAGGTTGCGTTCTTATATTTATGCAAAGATACACATATGTACATTGTAACAGTCAAAGAAAAAGCTATCAACTTAAGTGGAGAGGACATGGGGAGGGTTGAAGAGAGGGAATATGGGAGCAGTGGAGGGAGGAGAGGAAGTGCAAAAGTGATCTAATTCTATTTCAATTAAAATCCATTTAAGTACATGTTCAGGTGACTCTCCCTAAGAGCAGATCTGGATGTCAATGCCAAACAACAGATCTACACCACAGACTATTAAAACAATCCTGAAGAGGAATGCACCACAGCTATGGACAATAGTGTGAGCTGGACGTTGTGATCACATGGCAGAAAAGTACAAACACATATAGGAAGACTTCATGCACATGAGTCATTGTGATGGAGATAGCTTGCCATAAACCCATATCATGTTCCTTTGTAGCACACATGTGTCTTCAAACAGCACCAAAGAGTCTGAAGCATAACCCTGCCCCAAGAGAACTGCTTTTGATACTAAATCACTCATCTACTTTTCCAGCTTTAGCCTATGTGGAATCTGTAAACTCAGACTCCTTCCACCTCAGGCTAACAACTAGGAACTTTCCACAAGGTCTCAGCAGCTTTGTAATCAAGTCCCTGTGACCCATGGCAGTGCGTTTGCTCAGTTCTCAGCATCACCACTGAGACTCTCACTGGTAGACTGTCAGGAGCGAGAAAGTGTGTTCTGTAAAATAACAGGCATCCAGATGGGAGAGAAAATAGATATACATGTTCCTATATATAATGCCCGCCCAAATCCCTGCAAAATCTCTAAAAGAAATTCCATAACGGAATGTTGAATATTTTCTTTTGCTAAAATATTTAAACTGTGTAAACGTTATCTGTACCAGACAGGAATGACTTAGCATTTATCATGTGCATGAACTCAGGAGCGAAAAGAATAAATCTGCTGCAATGATAAAAATCAGTGAGTTTTCGGAAAAAGCCTTGTATTTATCCTGATAATTACAAAATTTTCCAAAAATATTTCCAATAGTAATGACACATATAAAACACAAAAATGACTTAATTTCTTATATCAAGTAGCAAGGCCTATTTATAAGATCAGATTAATTAAACTGCTATGATATGAATATACAGAGAGTTGCCAGTCACTTAAACTCGAGATAACAAAAAAAAGAGAATGTGGAAATCTTTGTTTTAATCATAAAATTGAATTAATTTATAATAAAGGAATTGTCTTGAGCCAGTAACAAAGGAATCACAAAAATAAGCTCCTGGAATATCATATAATAAACAAAGCAAAGTTGAGTTACAAATATAAGAAGGTATATTAATATGTTTTTTTAAAAATAAAATATTGGCTACCTAATGCAGACTGTTCATCCCTGAAGTCATTTACACACACCAATAAAAACGGATCCAGCAGGCCTTATTTACATATGTTTGAACATTCATATAGATACAAAGGCATATATGTGTATGTAACAATAATAGAGATAAAGAGCCTGTCAGCCTGAGAGTGGGAGGTACAGGAGAGGTTCAGGGGAAGATAGAAGGAAGGTGTTGGAGGGAGCAAAGGCATGGGGAGGTGATGTAATTCTATCTTAATTAAAAACACCAAAATTTACAAATATATTCTAAAATAGAAATAAAATATTCATTTTGAACATGGTCCTAGAAAAGACAATTGCAGTTAA